GTGAGCAAATTGGTTTCCTCATTTCTTATATTACAACAGTGATCACACTTCAAAAGTACTTCACTGTTTGTAAAGTGCTTTGAAATGTCCTATGGTCATGAAAATTGTGATATAAGTGCAAGTCTTTTGTTCACTATTACTAATTGAACAGTGTAAAACTACACATGGCTTTATATAGCACTTATAATCCTCACCAATAACTATCTGCTTTACAGCTGGTCAAAATTAGGAGAGGTTGTTAGTTGCAAATTCAACAATGGTGACCTGATTAAAGATGGGCTGCTATAGTTCAAAATCCCACCTTGGGCCAAGTTGGGCTTTTTAGTGTATAAACTATCCAAATCCACAGCGTAGCAAGCTAAATAAATTCTAGTTTCAGTTCCAAGTCTATGAAAATTAGGTCAAGCTTCTAGGCTTGAAACAATTCAATAACATTTGATACCTTAACCCAATTCTGAAGAATGAGCAATCACTTATTTGGATGAATATTGATGAACTGCCATGTGATAAGCCAAACAAAATGCTGCGTTTACGGAAATCTGTGAGGTGTAGTTCCAGTGGAGATTCTATGAGCCAACCCATTTGAGCCCTCCAGTACTGACTCCACAGAAACTTTTCAGAGTCAGTTTGTGGGCGTTCATCTGCTCAGTGTCTGTCACCTTGATGGACCTGGAGGAGTTGTGACTCAATCTGCCACCTGACCATACTATGAAACATTATTTGTTAGCTGAAGCCATACTTCAAAACTTTACCTGAGACAGGTGGGCTGGGTGTTAGTGGAGAGGGGTCTTTCTTTTCAATCTTTTGAGTTTACAGGGATTCCATGCCACTTCTCCAACTGAATGACCCATCATTCTGGGCCAGGGGACCTGGATTCAAGACTCACCTTTTCCAGACATGTGTCTGAACATGGTTGATGCAAAAACATACAACTTACCTGAACACGCTAATTAGAAAGCCAGTCTTCAGTCAAATGATGCATCCATTGATGTTTGAATGATCAAAACAAGTTGGCTGATTGAACAAAATTACTGGCAATACCCCTTTAAAGGGGTGCTATAATGAAATCAAATAGTCAAAGGAAACAACTAATTTGAATTAAAATTCATTGTGAGATGAGATAATACATCCCAGCCTTTGCAGTGGGAGGTGGCCAAACATTGGTATCATTTGGCAATATCTGCACAGTAAGCTGCCACTTATATAATGTAAAACAAATCATTATCAAATCCGTAGTCAAAATCTTGAAGTGTGTATATGCATTGTAAAAAAGAAAAACATCACTGAGTGACTTTATGTTAGGAATATGCCATTTGACTGTTTTTAAATCACTTTGTAATCAGCATTCCGCCAATTTTATTTCTTCCTGCTCTGACCTCCCAGGTTGGTGCATGGCAGTGACTTCCAGAATCGGATGTCAATCTTACAATCTGTGTTGACACATTGATCACTGTACAGGGATTGTCAGAGTGCATGCACAGCCACACAACTCAGAGAGAACATTAATTGGAATATCTAAATAATTATTTAGATTGTCATTTAAAAAAAAATTCATGCAATGTGGGCATCACTGGCTGGGCCAGCATTCACTGCACATCCATAATTGCGCTGGCCAAGGTGGATGTGATCTGTCTCCTTGAACCGCTGTAGTCCATGGAATATAGGACAGTGGTGTTAGTAAGGGAGTTCCACTGATATAGCTCCATGTTAGGATGGTGTGTGTCCTGAAGGGGAACTTGCAGGTGGTGATGTTCATGTACATGTGCCGCCCTTGTCCTTTAGGTGGCCTAAAGGTTATGGGTTTGCAAGATTCCATCAAAGATGACAAGCTGATGGAGTGCATCTTTTAGATGGTGCACACTGCTGCCACTATGCATCAGTGGTGAAGGGAGTGGATTTGGTGCAAATCAATGAAATGGTTTGTTCTGAACGGTATCAAGGTTCTTGAGTGTTGCTGGTCTTTGCTTAGCACTTGTGTTGTGCGAATAATACTGACACCACCCCTTGACATTCAATGGCATTACCATCATTGAATCCCCCACTATCAACATCCTGGGGGTCACTTTGACCAGAAACTCAGCTGGACTTGCAACATAAACACAGTGGCTATAAGAACAGGTCAGAGGCTAGGAATACTGCGGCAAGTAACTCCTCAAAGCCTGTCCACCGTCTACAAGACACAAGTCAGGAGCATGATGGAATATTCCCCAGTTGCCTGGATGGGGGCAGGTCCAACAACACTCAAGAAACTTGACACTATACAGGACAAAGCAGCTCTCTTGATAGGCACCATATCCACAAGCATCCACTCCCTCTACGGCCGATTATCAGTAGCAGCAGAGTGGACTATTTACAAGGTCTACTGAAGAAATTCACCAAAGACAGCACCTTCCAAACCCATGACTATTTCCATCTAGAAGGACAAGCAGATAACAAGGAACACCACCATCTGCAATTTTTCTCCAAGCCACTCACCATGCTGACTTAGAAATATATTGCCATTCCTTCACTGTCACTGGGGATTTCTGGAGGCAGACAACCTCTCAGCACTTCTGAATGAAGATGGATACAAATGCTTCAGTCTCACCTTTTGCTGAGCTCTCCCATTGTCGAGGATAGGGATATTTGTGGAACCTTCTCCTCAAATGAGTTGCTTAATTATCCAATATCATCTATGACTGGATTTGGCAGGACTGCAAAGCTTAGATCTGATCCACTGATTTGGAATTGCTGTCAATTGCATGGTGTTTATGGTTTGGCATGATTTGCCATAGAAGCAGTCCTGATCTGTGGCTTCAAGAGGTTGATGGTTGACACTTCACTTTTACGTGTACCTGATGCTGCGTCTGGCATGGCCTCCTACACTCTTTATTGAACTAGGGCTGATCCCCTGGCTAGATGGTAATTGTACAGTGAGGGATATGCCAGGTCATGTAATTGCAGATTGTGCTTCAAACACAATTGTGCTGCTGCTGATGGACCCAGTCCCTCTGAGTTTTTTTTCTGAGCTATTCATCCTATTGAAAGTTTGTTGCATTTAGCATGGTGGTAGTGCTACACAATATGATGGAGGATATCCTCAAAGTGAGGATGGGACTTTGTTTCCACAAGGGCTCTGTAGGGACCAGTCCTACTGATGCTGTCGTAGACAGATGCATCAGTGACTGGTAGACTGACAATGATAGGACAATGTCAAGGATTATCCCTCTTGTTACTTGCCACAGGCACAGTCTAGCAGCAATATCCTTTAGTACTCATCCAGCTTGCTCAGTAGCGGTGCTGTGAAGCCACTCTTGGTGATGAACATTAAAGCACATTACTCAGAGTACATTCTGTGACCATGCCAACCTTAGTGCTTCCATCAAGTGGTATTTATCAGCCAAGGCAAGGAAGCAGATAGTAATTTTGCAGGTTTCCTTGCCCATGTTTGACTTGCTGTCCGAGACTTCATGGGATCGGGAATCAATGTTGAGGACTCCTTGGGCAACAGCTTCCCAACTGTCACTGTTCTGCCACCCCTAGTGGGTTTGTCCCGTTCTTGAGTGATTGTGGTGTCTGGGACATTGTAAGGTATGATTCCATGAGTATGACTATGTCAGGCTGTGGCATGACTTGTCTGGGATGGTGGGGGTGAGCAGTTCTCCCAATTTTGGCAGTAGCTCCTAAACTTTGGTAAAAGAAAATTTTGCAGGATTGAAAGGGCTGTGTTTTGCTGTTATAATTTCTGTTGCCTGGGTCAATGCCAGGTGATCTTTCTGGTTTCATTCCATTTTTTGACCTTGTAACAGTTTTGATAAACTGGATGGCTTGCTGCATCATTTCAGAAGGAAGTTAAGAGTTACATTATTGTGAGTTGGGAGTACCATGGAGGTCATTAGGACAGCAGATGTTCCCAAAAGCCATTTGTGAGCCACATATTTCTATGCTGATTGACAATGGTCACATGGTCACCATTAGGCTAATTTTTAATTCCAGATTCTTTACTGAACTCAAGTTTCATCATCTGCCGTGGTAGGACTCAAACCCATATCCTGCAACATTAGCGTGGGCCTTTGGACTATGAGTCTATTGATATTACCACAACTCCACCACCTCCCTGAATGTCTTCAAATCCCACTTAATGATTACTCTCCATATAGGGAGACAATTCATATTGTTAAAACAAAACATACAAATAAGCACAACTGATTACCATTTTATACACCTTTTCTACACTAAAATCAAAGATTGTTTTCAGTTATAGAAGTTTGCAAGTGTCTTCAGATGGACAAAATTAAGATCATTATATTTATGCAAAACATCTCAAGAAAACAGAAGGCTGAATATAACTACACATCTGAAATATCCTTTATTATGATTGGTATCACATTGACCAGATTTTAAAAAAATTCTTAGTGGTGAGATGATCTAGAAACTATGCTAAAACTTCACTTTGTAGCTAAGATACAGGAGAAAGCCAATTTCCTCGCTGAGAACATGTTTACATTTGATTATCTTGCCAGTCTGAATCATGTTTTGCTGCTAATCTAAGGCTTCTGTTTTGCTTTGTTCGATTCTCCCAAAGAGCATCCATTTGCTTGTCTTTTCTTTTCCAACTATGAACTATCTCAATCTCCATATCTCTAAAATTTCTACAAACACCCATAAACCTCCAAGATATTTGTCATATTCTAATTCTGGCCTCTTGTGCATTCCAAATCATATTTGCTTCATTACTGGTAGTTGTGCCTTAAATTGCCTAAGCACTAAGCTCTGAATTTTGCACCCTATACCTCTCCGCCTCTTTACTTTGTTTGCCTCCTTTAAGACATATCTTAAAATCTACTTCTTTGACTAAAGATTTTGTCATCAGACCTATTATTTCCTTTTGCGGCTCAATGTCATATTTTGTTTTGTAATACTCCTACAGAGTGCCTTTGGATGTTTCATTCTGTCAAATTTGTAATTATAAGTTGTTGATGCTGTTGTTGGATTAACCATTTTCTTTGTATGCTTTGAAGGTTGACTACTGATTATCCTGAACAATATGAAGAAGAGGGACATTTGGTGATTCAGAATTATGGGTATTTCATCAGAGGGGCAGGCACCACCTTCAGTGGTTTCCATAGGTTGGTATTGCAAGATATTTCCATAGTGTACTCCTGATTGATTGATAAAAACTCTGGAGAAACAGGAGAAATTATTTTGTTTCTGTAGACCTTATACCTGTGGAGTTTCAACCCTCATGTGTTCATTTTCTAGTCAATGCTGAATCAGCTGATTTCACTCATGGCACCAGGAGTGCTACAAATGTTCAATATTTTGTCAGCTATTAAAAGGAGAAATCAGTCAAGCTTCATGACCTTGATCACTATCTAACAATAAGAAAATAAGCATGAGTGAAGGTTGGGAGAGGGCCTGATCAAGCTCTGTCATATTTCCCCATAACAAAATAAGCAATTGACATTCATGGTCTGGGTTCATACATGATGCAGCGACAGTAACCTTGTCAAAGTAATTAATTTTGTATGCTGTGGAACCATACCCCAGGATGAATACTTGAAGCAGATGCTACTTTCAGACAATGGAGTAAAATGGATAGTATTGTATCAACTGCCCATGATACACAGCTCCTAATGTTTCATCCCATTGGCTTCAATGAAACTGAATATCCAGCACTGTGTACAACAGCAGCTAATTCAGTATCACCCATTCTGTACAACTGGCCAAGATGAATGTCTTTCCTCCCACCCTCTGAAGAGCCAAGGAGAAATTGGAAGAAAAAACTATTAGGCCACAAAAATACACTCCACAATGCCATTGGTGCTGGAAGTAGAAGCTCTGATGCTCTGATGCTGAAAATTGGCCATAACATGCTGCTGGCTATTTGAAGTGCCTTCCTTATGGTACCCCATGTCAGGTATGATGCTGTGTATGCACTGGAGGTTTTTGATGTAGCACAGTTGTTCTGGCTGATTTGATGAATGCATTTCAAATGTGGACCCACAACTTCAATGAATGTTGCACTAATCACTTACAACTCAACACGCATGAGGGACCCTGCCTCTCTCACTGTCCCGATTTAAACAGACAGTCATCAACCTTGCAGGTGAGGTGTTTTTGACTTACTTCTGCAATCATAAAATTGGTGGACATACTGTGGAGTGTTTTTGGAAGTGTGATGAATTATTGGATATGGCAGGGTGTGTTGCTGCATAGAGGAAGGACAGAGGAAGATTTGACATCTTGTCCATACGAAGGCTGCAAAAAGTATATGGGCTATGCTTGCATTGCCTGTAAGTCTGTAATAATGATAGGTAACTGGAGCAGAGGCTGCAGAGACAGAAAACTCTACTCAAAGGGAGGAGGAGGTCTCTCTACAGAGATCCCTGACCAATATGGGCTTTCCCAGACCACATTCCCACTTCAGCCAGAGATACCTGAGATTTGCAATGGAAGTAGCTGCAGAATTGTATGACAAAGAGAGAGAGATGCACACACAGAGCAATCAAGCATGAGAACTGACATAAACACGCAGAGTGAATGAGCAAGCAAGCAAGAGAAAGAGCATGAGAAAGACACACGCAGACATATACATACAGTGAGCAGGAGAGAGTGTGAGATATACACACATACACAGAGCGAGCGAGTGTGACAGTGTGAGAGAGTAATACACACAGAAGGAGCAATGAGAGAGGAAAAAAGGCATGCGCAAAGCAAGTGAGAAAGAATGATGCACACCCACACATGCATGCACGCATGTACACACAGAGCAACTGATAGATGCACACATAGAGTGAGCAAACAATTGAGAGAGAAAGAGAGACTGTATGAGAGAGACACACAAATACATACAGTATAGAGAGCATGACAGCAGAAGAGGCACACACAAAGCGAGCATGAGACAGAGACGAACACAGAGTGAACAAGACACTCCAGAAATGATGCCCCCCAGAAAATCTTCAGGCCATTTGGGAGAGAAGAGATGTATCATTTCCAAGGAATTAAAACAGAAGTCATCCCAACTGACTAAGGCAGCCTGAACTGAGATTATTGTAGATGTGAGTTCTCTGGATGGCACAAGAGAACCCGGGTCCAATACTGCAAGAGCATGAATTATCTGCTGCACTCTGCTAGGGCAAGTGTTCTGTGTTTGCTCAATGCCAATTCTCCCTTATAACTACATGAAAAATCGGAATTCTGTCGCTGAGAGGAATTTTGTCATACACAAGATAAGGTGCCAGGCATCTCCATCAGATGTTACTTGAGCAATAAATTGATCTCAGTGAACTAGAGCTACCAAATTTGCATTCTTACACCACAGTGCTACTGCCTCTCACACATCTGCTAGGCTTTACTATTACAACATAATTGGACCTACAACACACAACAGCTCATGTACCAACAGGTCACTGATGTTACTTTTCACCTTGGAGAACGGACACACTTGTTACATTTTCAGCAAAGGATTGCATAGGACAAGGATGCAACCACAAATCATAACTTCTGTCTGAACACTGTAGAGATATCTTAGTCACACACATCAATGAGGAGCTTCACTGCCCTCCATATACTCCTAACTGTTTAATGAAATGAAAGCACCATTCACCCAGAACCCTTAACTCGTCAGATCCATTTACTACAAGTCTTCTTAATTGAAATGCAAAAACAGATATTCACAGCTGTGGAGACTTATACATCAATCTTAGCTCATGCACCCACACAAATGCAAATTCTTTGCAAATTTTGCCATTTGGTCACAGTCACCTCCTATTCCTCAACCTGACAGGCAACTCCCTGGTAACCTAGTCAGGAACAAGCCACTTTTCTCACCTGCTGTACGGACAGGTAATTGGAGAGATAGCAAGTTGAGGCCCTTAAGTGGCCAGTAAACGACTGCTTACAACTTTTAATTGCCATTGAATCAAGAAAATCTGCAATAGAACTTTACACACAGCACTTAATTGAAAAGATGGCAAGACTCTCCTAGGCAGCCTTGCCTAATTATTTCTGCTCCTTGTGTGATGATAATATGGCTTTAAGAGGTGTATTTTATCCTTTTTTTAATAAAGAGAGGTTGAGACAGGGGTCTGCTTAAAGCCAATAAAGTCAACAGCTTGTGAGACCTTGGGTTTTTTAAAAAGTATTGGAACAATAGAAGCAACCTGAATGCGTGTGGTCAAGATCCCACAGAACCAGGATTTTTAGTTTTAGCTTTCTGTAGTTGGGGTGGTGAAGCTGGATGTAGAAGCTCTTATTCCTCTCTCTGTTACAGCTAAAAGCTGGGGTTCTCCTCCTGCTGCTAGAATTGCATGTCAGACAATCTGTTTTACTAAATTAGTCTTTGCCAAAGGTGTGTTTATTGGATATCACTATATTGGAACCGTTAATTAGTAGTAGTTAATATATATAATTTTGTTAAGCATTTCAATAGAATTATAGTTAAGCCAATTCTTTTATTTTTATTTTGTCTGTATTTTAACTGCAGCAAAATAATAAAATGTGTTTTGCTTAAAGTCGAGTAGTTTCACCAATCAATTTGCATCTGGAATGCAACCCCTTACACTTACCTTTAAAATAAGAAAAAGATATAGCCTAGGCTATCTTCTTAATATATTTTGAGGGGGTTTGGTCTGGTCCATAACACCTCCTTCGTCACCTACAGAGAGGGTAAACACGTGCTCAGGATCTTTGACTTATTTGTTCCTCTCTATAAGGGATTATATAGTAGAATAATAAACCTCACTTTCTTCTCCAGTTAACTCACCATAAACTAAGAACTCAGCTTTCTACTTTGGATACACTTGTACTGCATTGCTGTTTACCCTATAGACCATTTGGGGGCAAACACAATTCATTTAAGATACTGGACCCATTATAACCTGCTAAATAAGCGTTAAAATTGCGACCTCCAGGCTGAGACTGCAATAGCCTCACAGTTTCTTGTAAACAATTTCTGTGTACCTACCAAATTAGTTGATAGGCTTGATATTAGTATGCACAGCATGTATGTGTTTTACCTCTTTAATACATTCCATTAGTTGCTGAGTTTTCAGTTCTGCACTGAGCAGGTTCATCTTCAGTTTTCAGTGCTCTATACGGCTGAAGGCAAATTCATAACAAATCTAGTATTCAGTGTGTGGAAAGAGCAAAGGGGATGAATTAATCCTGAATTATTAATTGCCTACATATTGATGTTAGTCAATATTTTGCATATATACTTCCTCTTCATAAACGTTCTTTTCCTTCAATAAATTCTATTTATTTGCTATTTACTTTTAATTTCAGGGACCGTCAGTGGAAATATGTAATCTGCAGGATGACAGATTTTGACTGTGATTATGATAACCTGTAGGAATCATAAATTGAATGCTTAAAACCAACTCCAAAACAAAGATTTATTTACCTGCAATGTCTCTGTTAAAAAAAATCATTTTGCTCTGCAAACTATACATAGTTTATTTAAAATATGAGGTGCAGAATGTATGAGTAGAACCATCGTAAAATAAAATAATTTTTGGTATGAACAAGGTTGGGATGTGATCGTTGTTAGAACATGACGATCTTTAACTGGAAAATACATGGGAGATCTTTTCCTTTGTGCATACGATTGAAGAGTGCAATGAATATTGGAGAATCCGGGAGGTTAGAATACATATCTGAAAAGGACTTCATGCAATTCTCCTCTGTCAGCGTAATTGGAAGAAAATTGGGCAGGTTGTTGTACAAAACACGCACTCTAAGCCACCCAAGTTTCTGATATTCATTGTAGCAAGACAATACATTGCAGTTAGGTGAACTCAGAAAGATCTCGCCTCTTACCAAGATCTACTATTTTATTGGCTTGAGAGTCAAAGTTTGTTTTGCTTAATAAGCCTTTGTGGTTATTATCTTCTAATTGAAACCAAACTTTATCATGTAAATAAACTGTCTGCATGAAAACATACAATTAATGGTATTGAACTGCAAACAAGTGTAATCTGTTCAATATGTTATCATATTAGATTTTGAACAATGTTATGTACATTTTAAAGATTTCATATTTTCTGAGAAAAAGCTTATGGAAACTTGATCATTCCTCCTTGGTAACACAAGGATAAATCAAATCAAATTCAAATACACATCTACAATAGTTAACCTTGGCCTTGAACACTCAGCCTTGATAAGGATGCATGAAGACTGCATAGTTTACATTGTCCAAAAATAATCTCACTGAAAACTGCTTTTGCTTATAGCCAGGCTTTGGAGTAGACCGTGACAGTCTACTTCCTTGCCGAATCAAAAATCTTCCCTTTCAATTGAACAGTCCAACCATTTGGTGCAGGAAGCCAGGACCAAGTGCCACAAGTAAACCCCAGATGATGGCACAAAATCCAAATCTCTTTACGAGCGATCTGTGAGATCTGTAATGAACACAATAAACCTTTGCATAGAATTTCTCTCCGGTGATTTTAAGGACAGTTAACCGGAAAAATTGAATTAATCGCTGTAACAATATAATGGGCAAAATAAATTTCTACAAGATCATTATCCTAATTTCATTGTTGCACAATATCATCCAAAGTTATTATAGGAATGGAAAATATCCAGCTTTTAATGTGGAAAGAATTACATTATTATTGTGCTTTGGCGTGGGTATACTTCGGGACAGCCTTGCTGCCCTTCAGCCTGCAGGGGAAGTTGATGAGAAATTCAACGCCAATAGAGTTCTAATTCTGACCTTTTAGAATTCCCAACATGATGCTAACAATTATGCCACATGTCTTCCCTCAATTATATGCAGCCTCCAGTAAAAGCAAATATATATAGTAGTTATTCATCTAGTATTTCCATTTAAGTGAATGTTTAAATGAATGAGAAGATTACAACTTTGTTAAAGCCTATTTTTGGCTGTAGTTCATATATATTCTATAGTTCCTGAAGTTGGCTTGGTTTTGCTTAATTAAACAAAATTGAAGGTATTTGTGTCTTTGTGTACACTCATTCTTTTCTCAGTCAAAGACCGTTAATTTTGATAGGTTATTCAAGGTCTCATGATGACCCATTCATTGTTGACTATGCATTCATTACTGGGGTGGGTTCTGAAATAAATAGTTACCAAGTAATTACATTCATCTGCTTGAATAGACAACAAGTCGCCAACCATTTATGAAACAGTTATTTGATCAAATTAAATATCTTCTTGTTTTTCTCTTAATATAATGAGCATTACAATTACACAATACATTGCCATCAAATGATACCACCCTTATTTCAGCTCAAGTCTGAATTCATTAACTAATGTCCCAAAACTGCTATGCTCCCCAATTGACAGAACCACAATGACAGCATGCAGTTAGCATGATCTACAAGACACAACAACAGAAAACAACACAAAAACAACAGCAGCCAAAATTGTTTGACTGTCTGTATCTCTTCCAAACAGACAGCATGGATAAAAATTCCTTCCATTCAACTTTGACCCAGAAAGGAAACCATAAGACACTTTTCTAACACATTGAAACAGGAATAATGCCTTAAAAAAATCAAAAACAAGTGCAAGGAAAAGCATTGTGAAAGTTGCAAATTACTTTGCAGCCCAGAAGATGAATTCATACCATGCTGTCTAGACCCAGAACTGCTCAAAGGCATTCTCCAAAGTCAGCAGTGATGTAGTTCCTGGATAAAACACAACAACCAGTATGATATAGTCTGACTGTTCCCTGTATGTTAGTCCTTGTAACATGTACAATGAAAGCTGGGTTCTTGTTGAGACAAATGCCCTAAAATTTATTAACACTAACTATCTACACCATTATAAGATCTCAGACATACCCATTGTCTCGGATTTGGGCTTATTACTGTTACTTCGAATACAATAACCTCTACTCAAGGTGATGTTCCCTTTATACCTACTTTTAGACCGGAGAATCACACATCACAATGTCATCCAACTGTTTGAAAGGTACACTGTCTATCTGATCTGGAATCTATGCAATAAGACAACAAGCAGTCTTCCCCAGTGGAAGTCTGCAGTCTCTGACACTCTGTATTGTGATCACTGAGTCATGAGGAAACTGGTCATACAGAAGACAGGCACCAAGGATGAGCACAAGGGTTATTAATTCTGTATGCATTATCCAGTTTAAAAAGTTAATAGCAATATTTGGATTTGCATTTGGTGACAGGATGTATTTTTGTGTTGGAACCGATACATGTTATCAGAAAGAGGATAATGCAATTTTAAAAATTATTTTCAGGATGTGGGAATCACTGGCTAGGCCAGCATTCATTGACCATCCCTAATCGTCCTTGAGGAAGTGTTTGTGAGCTGCCTTTCTGAACTGCTGCGATCCATTTGGGTGGGTGAGGTGTGGGGGCTGGGGATTTCCAGGATTTTGAAGGAACAGCAATATTGCTCCAAAGCAGAATGGTGTGATGTATTTTGGAACTTGTAGGTGATGGTGTTCCAATGCATTTCCTGCACTTCTTTTAGGTGTCAGAGCTCACATAGTTGGAATATGCTGCTTAAGGAGTCTTGGGAGTTGCTGCCACCATGTGTGTCTGGTGAAGGGAGTAAACATTGAAGATGCTGCATGGGATGCTGATTAAGAGGGCAGCATTATCTTCTTGAGTGTAGTTGCAGCTCCACCCCTCCAGGCACGTGGAAAGTATTTCATCACACCCTTGACTTGCACCTTGTACATAGTAGAGTGTCATTGAGCAATTAGGAGATGAGTTACTCACTACAGAATTCTTAAATGCTGATCAGCTATTGTGCCCATAGTGTTTAATATCTGGCCCAGTCCAGTTTCTGGTCAATGGTAACACTCAAGATGTTGGTGGAGGATTAAGCAATGGAAATGTCATTGAATGCTTTGTCAGTTTCACTGATGGTTTGGGTTCTGCCATTTTTGAGGTTTGTGATATTTGTGAAGTCTCACTTTCCTTTTAGTTGTTTAATTGTTCGTCATCATCCATGAATGGATTTGGCAGAACTGGGGAGCCTAGATCTGGTCCATTGGTTTTGAGAGCTCAAGCTTAGTTCTGTTTATTTCATGCTCAGTAACAGTCAGTTTTACAGGGAGCTGATTAAGGATTGTCAGTGGCAGTAGGGTTACTGATATTACTTGTGTACAATTTGAACATTTGAACAAAAAACATTGTGCATGCTCCTCCTGCTTGTCTGTGAAAGAGGAAAGCAGATGGATGTGTTTTTCATTAATTCATTTACCCTATAGCACAGTGCACTGAAAAATACATGATGTTGTTTATATCTCCAGCAGCAGCCTGAACAGGAGTCACGCAAATTAAGAATCACCATCAGTTTCACAGCCGCAGGCAGTTCTGTGGTTCTGTTTTAAGGATGCAGTTATTGCTGCAGAAGTAGATGGATTTCTGTCATAACAACTTTTGTAAACTGAACATATCTTGTGCACTTATTGTTGCTGAAGTTAAAATCTGTTATTTTCTCCTTGAACATCCTCTTAGGATATGGCCTCCTGCTAAGTGCCTTTCTCTTCCTCCTCCTACTCTTCGTTCTGGCAGTTTGTTCTGCTTGTGTACGCTTGCCTTCATTTTTCCAGTCATGTTCATGCTAGAGGGAAGCCTATCCTGCCATGCATAACTGGAAGTCATGTTTTGAGCACGATATTTTAAAAGGTATTAACATACTGCACATCCAGCCAGACCTCTACCTGTGGAATTCTGCTTAAATTTAGTAAGTGTAGAATATGTCCAAAGATATTTAAAATTGCACCAGCAGCCAGCCAAAGACATAATTCAGCAATTAACCTGTAAGCATTTCATTATGCCTTTAAATAGAGCTGATGGGAGAATCGTTAATGGTGTTTAACATTGTATTCAGTTGTACAAGGTTAAAACAGAGCATTGGGTGGAGGGCGTTGTTGAAAAATGGCAGTGAGCTTTCAAATCAGCACTACACACTCACTCATACCATTACATTCCTGGTATAACTGTCATCTTTATCCAATGGTGACCTATACACTTAGAATATCAAGGCTCATTTTCAAGTGCACATACCGCACCTAAAAACAGGCACTTCATTGACCAAGTTAAACCATTTGCCTTGTTTGGGGTAAGGAAAGAGTAGACAAAGGTGAATTGATATAATCACTCACAAATTGCTTAAGAGGAAAACGGAAGATTGTTAATGAGAGAAATCAAAAACAAACTTCATATGCCAATATGTGAAGAGGTAACAGGTGGAGAATGGGCTGCAGGGAGATGTGAAGAAAGAAAACCTGGCAAAGGGAAGAAGGCTTCAATGGCTTAGCAGGATAAAAGAAAAAAAATCTGAGGCTACAGTACTAACCTGTCTATTCTGTTTTATAAATGTTACCCGACTCATTGAGTCAGCATTTTCAGCATTTCCCAGCATTTTCAATTTTAATAAAGAATTTCCATTTGGTACAATAAAAAGGACATTAACATATGTGGCCTGGTGATTAAAGGAATGACTGAACAGAAGTCATGAGCATTGGCAGCTTTTCTCTACTCCATTTTATAACATGAGTCTCATCAATCAATGGACATTACAGCCGAGCTTGATCTTGTTTGAGTTTTCCAACTAATCAATTGATAATGAGCAATTTTAGTTGATTTCTTCTTTCTGGCAGAAAGTGCTGAAGCCAATTTTAGGAGCTTTAATAGCATGATAGCCAACAGTAACTAATCATAGGATCCAAAATTACCTTCGCCCACACCTGTATGGTGTAGTACCAGGAGTCAAATGACTCACTGGAATATTAGATGAACTGTTATGTTTACTGGCCCTTAGTGACCCTCACAATTCTATATGCTTTGGAGACTTGGACAACCTACAGCAGGAACCTTAATATATTGGAGAAGTACCATTGACAGTACATTCACAAGACCCTCCAGATCCAGTAGTTATCCAACAGCAGCATTCTCTCCCAAGCCAACAGTCTCAACACTGAGATGCTCATCACCAAAAACCACCTTACCTGGGCAAGACATGTTATTCCTATTTGACACTAACCTCCCAAAGCAGAACTCTGTTGAGTCAGGAAACGCCCAGGGGGCCAACAGAAATGCTTTAGGGTTGTCCTCAAGTACCCCCTGAACAGATCAAACATACCTGTCAATTTGTAGGAGGTCCCAGCTTCTGGTCAACCAAAATATAGAAGCTTCATTCAGGTAGGCACCAATCACATTGAAGGATTTAGTCATTAACACACAGTGGTGAGGCTGAGTCCCCTGTGAGAGCACACAAGCCTCCAATCTGCATGATTCTACAAGTAGCAGCTTCCCCACATATGGCAGTCATGATTTGGACTTACTGGCCATCTCAGAAACTGATGAGAATGGACGCACTTCATTCTCAATCCTGAGGAACTGCCTAAGCAGAGAACAGAGCACTTGTTTAATTTGCATAAAACAGCATTTGAACCCATTTTACTCATTCATACACCAAATTTTCGGAGAAAATCTTATGTGGCTAAAGATTCTGCCTCATTAAAATCTGAATTCCATCCGAGAACATGACAGTTATCAATTTTTGAGGATATTTACATTGCTGAAGTCACTTTGGACTGTAAATTAGTTGGATCCAACCACAGTGTTATACTAGGTAGCTGACACAGCTTCAAATGATTAATTGTCAAGAAAAAAAATCACAGTCAACTTGTATTAAGTTCTAATCAGCTCTGCAGCAATTTAATACATTTCTCAATTTCCAATAACATTATCTTTATACCAACAAAATATGTGACAAAATGACTTTAGAAATGCAGGCAAGGGCTTCTGACCTGACACATAACATTGACTTGGCTCTCAACTACAAGGTGACTGACATCCCTTGGTGCTAAACAAAGCTTGTACAGCCCCGTCTTCACAGCAGTACTACCACTGTTCTAAATTATCCTTTTTTATTTTGGTTGAAAAGTGAAGTTTGGAAAGTAAGTGATGAGGCTCAACTTGTGCAGCAGAACTAGCAATC